CTGCTTTGATTTAAGTGGGGTGGATGAAGCCATTGGGATTTCGTCTGGTAAACTTGAGTCAGAACTCAGCGTGTCAAATGAGTTTACTGAATGGAATGTTTCATCAGTGATATCGAATATGGCCGATGCAAAGTTGGGTATACCACAGTCACAACATACCCACGAGTATGATCGGTGGGTTTCTAGTGCACTGTATACTTGAGAACATAGCCCAATGCAGTCACTGTGGTACCATCTGTCGCATTCATCACAGCATATTGCATTATGGGTGTTACGTACTGCCTTGTTACAACTCCCACATGGAAACTCTTGGAGAGATGTAAGGAATGCAAGAAAAGTGTTTCAATGGTACTTTGGAAAAATTTGCCTGTATAACGCATTTCAGGCTCTAAAAGATAGGTAGATTCATACAGAGCTCTAGCCAGCACCCTTTTTTCTGTCAATTGCAGGAACTTTGTGGCCTGTGTGTGACGGAAAAATTTTGAAACGAAACTGTCAACCTTGAATTGATGGACAAAATTGACAAAATCTTTGGTAAAAATATAAAAACATCCAAAGGACCACTAAAAACCACTCTCAGCCCCATGATTTGCCTCTGGAAATGTGGGAAATTCAAAGGCTCAAAAAAAAAAAATTTTGTTCACAGACCCCTCTAGATTGCGAGCACTCTTCCCCAGGTCCAATCATGAACCTGGGCTGACAAAAAAATTTCAAGTTGGCTAGAGCTCTGGATCCATGATAGATTACATACTGTAGAAAGGTATTAGGAGGCAGTGTACAAAATACTTTTTTGAACCAGGTTGCCAGTGGGCAACCTACAGCAAAAATTAGGTTGCCCATCAGAATTTTAGGTTGTCCCACCTATACATGTAACTTACTACTTTCCTCCTATTAAGTAATGTTACATATACATAAGCCTTTGACAATATTTCTAACAGCCTTTGGTTAACTGATACTAGTAATAGCCATTATTAATACCTAAAATTAAAAAGCATCTGCCAGATACAGTGGTGCAAGCCAAGTGGGTATGATTTGAGGCGGCATTCTTAAAATTCAGGTAGCACACTGGGCTACCTAGGTTCAAAAATAGGTTGCCCCAAGTAAAATTTGGTTGCCCGGGACAACAGGGCAACCAGGTATTTTGCACACTGGGAGGGAGGGGTAAGTCACATTGTACGAGCCCTTGTGTCTTAGTTTGAAATGGGATTTTCAGACGGTTGTGTTTTTTCAGTACAGTTCCAGACCTGGAAGATATCGCATGGCCGGATATATTACATCCACTAAGCATAGGGGGAAAATCCAGATGGTATAATACTAAGCAATTTATGTGATATTGCTTTCAATTGCTTTCACAGAGACAAAGTCTTGTAGAATGGTGCCATATTTCCAAGCCTAATACCACAACAATACAGAACCAAATATTGCTCATTATAGTAATTGTTATTTTGCAGAACTTTATTGCACGACAATTGTACATAATACATTTCATGTACAACATATAGCAACAACTATCAAAAGGCTATATACTGCTTATATACTATATATTATCTCTGGCAGCTATAATCTTTCCATAAGAGCCTTCTGGATGTAGTGGTCAAACATACATTTGTAGCTTAGAACATTTAACATATAGTGCCTATGGAGAAGTCAGTAGCTCTGATCCTTAAAATTACTGCAGTGAGCTTTACACTTTAGTTCAGCTTTTCCAGCCATATGGAAGCAAACTAGTAGTAATAACTTTTACATTGGACATCGCATAACCTTTCTTCCCAGTTATGAACTTTTTACGTATATGAGTTCCTGATATTAAGCCTTCATCAAAAAGAGAACTTTTTTTACAAGAGGCAGTCAACTGTAAGGCAGAGTCATCTTTATACTTGATGAAAGTTCATCTCAAGCCTGAAATTGCCTTTTACTGTAAATCATAAATTATTCGCTGCACTCCTATATAAAAATCGCAGTTTTCGCGGTCACTTCTGGAACTTATCATTACCGTGAAGAAATAATTTGCTGACTTTCTTTTTGCTGTCATCGAAACGTATACCGGTAGTTCAGCGAACATGTCCATTTTTCTCAGACCGCAAAATTTTGCTACTGTAAATGTAAAGTGAATTACAGTATCTCTGCCAGTGTCCTTTTTTCTGAGCTTGTTAGACCTTATTACGAGAAAAATGCCAACCTTTATAGGGAAAAGTCAGCCTATGTCAGTGGCAGCTTGACCAGCATCTGTGTAATTTCTCCCAGGATTTTAACTTGTAGACATAAATAAATGGAATATTACTATTAGAGGACTAGAAAGGGTAGGGTTAAACATTTGCAGAAAGGTTTTGTCCTCAGTTGTAAAGAGAATGTTGTGGGGTTAATTAAGTTACATTCTTCTTTATTAATGTTAGTTAATTCTCAGGCATTGAACACTTGTTTTGTACTTATTCACAAATTGTTCTATTATTGAAATTAAAAGTTAAACTTTAAACTAGAAAAGTAACACACTCGCTTTTTAGGAATACTTATAGATGAAAAACTTAATTGGAAGATACATATAGATTTGATTTGCAATAAGATTCATAAGAACATAGGCATCATTAGAAAAATAAAGACCCTCCTCCCACGAAGAATATTTATAACATTATACTACAGTCTAATATATCCGTATCTATCATACTGCAATTTCATTTGGGCGAGCACTTACACAACATCAATTAAACCACTCTATCAACTGCAAAAACACTTTGTTAGAATTGCAGCTAACACACACTTCACAGCACACTCAGCACCTCTGTTTCGTGAACTAAAAATCATAAATGTATATGACTTAAACAAATTACAAATAGCCATTTTTGTTCATAAAATCGTTCATAATACCAATAGTTTACCAGATCAATTCAACACTTTTTTTACATTCAACTCAGACATTCACCAGCACAATACGAGACAACATAACCATTTAAGGCCGATCAAGACTAAATCTACACAAAAACAATTCTCAATAGCATATAGAGGCCCCATCGTCTGGAATAAGTTAAGCCAACTGTTACAAAACTGTCAGTCAACTCCTGTATTTAAAAAACTTCTTAAAAACTTTTTTCCTACAGAATCCCAGTACATCCACAATCTGATTTGTTTGTTTTCCTTGTTATTGTTAATATTTTGTTTTAATTCTTATGTTAATTATTTAATCAGTTTAATCTGTAAAATCTACCTGAATTACAGGTATAAGACTTTTGTTTAATTTCGTTTTAGTTAGTTTATACACCTCAGTTATTATTTCTGTGTCTTGATTTTGTTTAATTACTGATAGTTTAATCATTTTATTGTTTAATTTTGATGTTTCATTTAAATATGTTTTGTCATAAGTTATCTTTGCTTGGGGTAGGCCTCTAGAAAAACCACCCAGGTTTCTGGCCTACCCCGCACATTCTTTGATTATTATTATTTGATTGTGTAATTGTTTTTAATATACGTGCAAATGGTAAATAAACAAATAAATAAATAAACATTTGCAAAGCAAACGCATAATGTTTACCTTTGCATATGGTCTGCTCTGTTACTTCTTGCTCGAACACATTCACATACATGTACATGTGTATATGTGACAGGATTCTAAATCCCTCCTACTATGAAATTGCAACATTATGTAACCCAACACCAGTTACCATGGTGACAGATGTCAACAAATCAGGTCATTGACCAGATCAGAGGTAATTTCTTTGGAGAAGAAGAAGAAACTGAGCAAAAACAATGTTTTCCTTCGGTAAACATGATAATTAAGTGTGGGGAAACTTTGACACAGATTAGTTGAAAGCTTGCACAGATAAAACACGACAGCCATCTTACCATGTAGGTCTGTATCTACTCAAGGCTATTCATTTTATTCCCTCAGCAACTTTGTCGAATAAATTTCTATCCTTGACGACTCTGTGTTGACTCATAAGAAATAAATTGCAGTACGGCATATTACATCTCGCGATATAACTGTCTTACTGTGGTGATTTTATGAACCATCATAGCGAAGTATTCCTGAGAGTAATAGTTATAGTAGAGTTATGACAACAGATGGGAATTTTATGCTTGTAGTGAGGTGTAAAACATATGCCATAAAGACTTCTGTAGACGCATTTTGTGGATGATGAATGTTTAGAAGGTGCATGAAACTCATTCTTTCTGGAAATGTAGCCGTCTGAAATCAGGCATGGGTTTGATTTAATCTTGTGTCTTTGGATGGATGCGGACATCAATGACAAGCAACTACAACAATGGTACAACCAGTGACATTGATCCAAATACTGTAATTCTGATTTTTTTTCACATTACTTTTATGTTCACAGTTTTGGCGGTCACTTCTGTACTGTGAACTTATCTTTTCTTTTCCTGCGCCACTGTGAACATGTAGTTCTGTGTATACCTTCATTTTTCTCACACTGTGAACTTTTGCTACCGTGAACATAAAGTGAAGTACAGAAAAACATGCAACTGTTACCACATACAGTACAGTGCCTACTTGTAGATACATATCATACATTTAAGAATAATATGAGTTTTGTCTTGAAAGTTAATATGTGTTGGCAGATGTCATTATGCTGTAAGTTTAAACTATATTTGAGTACCACAAGTCCATTATTCTTTGTGTTAGAAATTACAGTTTAAACTTAAGGCATAAGAATAAGATGAGTTTTGGTTTTTGTCTCTTCAACTTTGGGAAGACTTACACATTATAGTATACATCCAGTGCAATAGCTCAATTGGTAGAGTGCTCGCTTTGTAACCGGGAGGTCGTGAGTTCAAACCCCGGCCGGGTCATACCAAAGAATGGCACACACTTCTTTCTCTGCTTAGCGGACCAGACCCCTGCTGTAGTGCCTTGCACAACTGCGTGTCGCCCAAGGGCCACAGAAATGGATATGGGCACCACCCCTATGCTCTGCAATAGAGTGGAACAGGACCTTTTTTATAGCGTCTGTCGTATCTGTGTTGTTTATCAGTTGTTTTGTTGATTTTTCCAGGCGTTGAAAACGTACCACCTGTACCATGCCGAGAGTGCTGTGGCGGAGGGGAAACTGAAGTCAGTCGAGAGCAAACTGCTGAAAACCGACGACAAAGCCAGGCCATCCAAGAGGGTCAAAACCATGCAAGAAAAGGTACATGCTTTACATGTTTAATACAGGTATTCGTATTTGCACACACACATAAGAATCACTGAGCATGTGCTTCTGTAGACAACCTGTCTCCTCGCTTCCTAGTCATATCATCAAGGCCTCTGGGTACAATATCATTTCATTAAAACTAATAAATTAAAGATTAATTTCATCTACAACATTGAGATGATTGAAGGTTTTCGACTTGTTATCAGATTTCCAATAATCCTCGGAAAGACAAACACATGTTATAGTTATCCAGCATAAAGTAATAAAGACAAAGGCAGAATGTAATAATTATGTAAGGTTTAGTCTGTGACATGAGACATTACATTTCAGTTTTCACAAAGACAAACACACTATATATATATATACATCATCATGTTATACACCGTCTGTACATTTTATGTGTAATTTTCTTCCATTGCACACATACAATTTTGTTTCCTCTTTGTCTGCTACTTTCTCCATGCACTTTTCTTTGCTTTCTGTCACATTTTGCTTTGCTATCATCTCTCTCTGTCTCTTCTTCCTCCTCTCAGCAGTGTGTATTCAGGTGCATGTTGTTGCAGATGCAGGGACAAATAGCAGCTGTCTGCGGCTGACTGTGATAGCATCTGTCTGCTTGTTTGTTTGTGTGTGCAGGTGTTTGAGATAAACAGTTCATGATGTAAGCAGGTTGCCTGGATGTGGAGTGCTTGAAAAATCTGGTCCAGTCTTGTGTGCTTGAATGTGATAAAAAAGGCGGCATGATGCAAAGTGCTCAAGCTTTCAAATTTAAAAGGTCCCTTCTATTGCTGTGGCTATAATGATATTGGTATTGGACAGTTTTCAAAGTCTCAAAGTCATAACTGTGGGAGAACATTGTGTACATGTGGTAGAATAAGGTCCACAATCATACCCAGGTGTCAAAGGATAGCATCTTTGTATACATGTACCTGCTCACCTCAGAGGTCAAGTACTTGGGCTAAGGAAAAAAATGTGTTTGCTGTTTCCCAACCAAACCTAGAAAAACTGCCGACCCTAGCTATAGCCTTTTCTTTTGTGTGTGAACCCCTGCAAGAGACATAAGTTTTCGAGATGATTGAGCTTTTCTACTAGCTCCATGAAACATTGTACAATTGGTTTTCCAACATTGACATTGGAACTGTACGTACATGTACCCTCATGCAAGTTTTACTTTGTTAAACTGTATGGTATAAGTTGGATCACTGAAGATTGCCTAAGGCCACACCAGTTTAATTTGTTGGTTCTCGGATTTTTTCAGAAAAAATATGAAGCGACAGGGCGAAAAAAAATAAAAATAAAAACAGGTCTAGGCATCCTATTATAGGCTTAAATGCTACAAAATGAGCCATGACGTCAACACAAAAGGCTGGGTTAAAATTTAAACATTGAATTTTGAACTTTTAATCAAACCACTGCAATGATAGATGGGAAAGACTGTACAAATAGGAAGAAAAGGACTTTTCCTCAACTGTTGGGGGGCAAAACATGATCATTTTTTCAGTTGATTTCAGGACCAGAATCAATTTTTTTTTTTTTGCAAATCAGATAAAAACGAGAGGCGAATCCGAGAACCAACAAATTAAATTGGTGTGGCCT